CAAATTTAATTTATTAAAGTGAGCATGAAAGAGTGTCTATTTTATTCTGTAGACAAAGTAGATTGTTTCAAATTTTGTTTGAATTAATATTAGGAATTCAAGATATTTAGATTAAAAACTAATTAATACTAAGTTATTTTCTATTTTTTTAAAATTATCTTTTGATTCTATGGCTTTGAGCCAAGATTTTCACTTCACACTTTATAATTCTGTGCATATCATCTATAATGATTTAATAAAATTAAAATCATGTAGAATACATGCAAGATTTTGTATTAATATATAAAACTGTATAATAATAAACATTAATATCGCATTAGTTTCATATTATTGTTAAGTAATATTTACTAATATCAAAAGAAATTGTTGAAATTCCAGCGAAGATTTTTCTGTTAATTCACTTGGTAATTCTGCTTTATATGATTAAATTTTCTATTGCAAAACAATACCATTATTATTAATGTTGAATGTTATTCTAATTATAAAAGTTTTTTTTAAATAAAAAGTCAAATTTTTAAACATTAATCATTTGTATAGCTACATAATCTGTTTAATTATCTATCTTCTACTTCATTACAACTGCAGTATATTATTTTCATTTAACTGTTGTTATGACACGCTATGGTATTTGTTTTGATAGTTTAGTCGTTCGAATGGTCAGAGAGGGATCATCGGTTTCCCTCCAGGATTGGCTCTCGATATCCCTATTTATCGATTTATTTGGAGGAAATGATTTCTGTCGATTGCATCGTCAATTTTCCATTCTTTTTCTAAACTTGACGTTTGTCTACTTCGTCAAGATATTACACATAAATCTAAGAATTCATCAATTTTGTTGGCGCAATGAACTTCTATTTCCATTATTCCTTTGAACTGAAAGTTACAATATTTAGGCTCTTGGTTCTTGGAATTAATTTTTGTGTTTCGTAAATTTATAATAATCGAATTTTTTTCCGAATTTCCTAAATTTTTATAGTATAACTCTATATTTCTACTTCAAAATAGCTTTTTTTATTGTAATACTCACATTTACTTGGTATCTTCGACTTAATCTACAGAAGTTTTCCTTAGTAACACTTTTTCTTTGTTTTTAATTTTAATGTGCAACCTTAATCGTTTCATTAATTTGTTTATGGTAAGTTATCTGAAGGTTTTTACTTTATTCTCAGTGTGATTTTCGTATCAAAAATAATTTATTATATTCTATATTTTTTCATCGTTTTTTTACTTTTGAAATTCTTAATGGACCAGTTTATTTAATTATGATTATCATTAATAATGATTTCTTCTTTATTATCAAAACAAATTTCTTGTTTTTCATAGCTAAAAATATTATCAAAAATATTTATATAATAATATTTCCATTGTCTCGTGAGAATTAGATAAGAAGCCTTGTTTCCATTATAAAAATCTTTTTCTTAACTTTGGCGAGCAGTTTTTATTTTCGATTATAAATCTTCAGGTCTTTATCAAAGAAAACTTGGAGTTTATTATGCCTCTTACTAGTATAAAATTTTTCTTAATGTAAAAATATTTTGTTTATCAAAAATATATCTTAAAATTACATAATTTTTCAGTTTTCTTTAATTTTTATTTTAAATCTAAGTAGAATTGTATATAAAATAGAGAATTTTCCATATATTTTTCTTAATTAATTTATATACTTTTTGGAAAGAAGTGTATTTTTAGTATTAAAAATTGTGAATTCTTGAATTCCTTTCTTAAGATAGTTGAAAATATAGTTTTAAGCAAAGTTTTATGTCAAACAAAAGTAATAATTTTTGAATTTACGATTTTAGGGAAATGCGGGTATCTAAAAATGTTAGAAGTTTTTGTATCTGAAAAGAGCATTAAACTATTCAATATTTGATATCGTAGTTTTAAAGAAATTCACTTGATTTTTACAGTAAAACTTAAAAACTTTTCTATAGTTATTTCTTCAGTAATTGCTTATTATACATTAATATTAAATTGAATTATACTTTAAAACTTTGTTCGTGTTTAATATTTAAATTAAATTAGCTAATTTTTACAGAAACATATTTATCACTTCTCACTACATATAAAATAAAAAGGAATTCATTTTACTGCTTGACTGAGCGGAAGAGGTTTTAACTTCTTTGATAAAGATATTCTTTCAATCCATGTAGTAAGAAATTCCACTCGAAAAGTACAAATAAGGATGAAAAGAATTGTAAAAAGATACCGAATTTCTCTCTAAAGTCAAAAAAGCAAAAAATTCGACTTGCGTACTTAGTCAATACACTATCTCCTGTTCATCCTCTCTACCCATAAACATAAAACAAAACGAAATACATTGAATTCTTTACTGAATTCAACATACGTGTACTAACAGAGTTGACCATTTTCTTTCTTTTCTTTTCTTTTCTTTTAAAATATTTTCATAAATTAAGGTAATTTATAAAATTCATTGCTGTGTATACGATAGGATTCTGTAAAGTTATATTTATCTTGCTCGTTTCATAAAATTTTCCAAACAAATCATTAATTGAAAAAAATAATTAATAAATATCATTTTACATATCTAATTATGGTTTACTAACAAACTGTAAATGTATTTTTCATTTTATATCTAAATCTTGCAATTAAAAATATTTAACAAATTAATACTGTGAATTAAAGATGTAATTTTCTCTTTCGAAATTAAAATTTTATATGATAAATGTGCATTAAAGTTTTATTTTAATAATGCACATTACATTTTAATTTGACATAATTTTTCTAAAAATAAAGTAACAAAGATTAAGACAGAGTAAGATATCTTTCTGACATTTTCATAATTAGTACATTTAATTTGTAAGATTATATCAATATTTAGGAACATCATTATCTATTTATTTAAAATTAACCAAGCATTTGGAAACTTATTTAGAATTTATACATTAATGAATAAATACGTATATAAATTGGGTTATTTTATAAAATGATTTTTCTATTAAATTATTAATGTAATTAATGTCAATCGTCCGAATTAATTAGTAAATGAATAATATACGAATAATGGAGAATACAAATTAAACGATGTTTGTGTACATTCATCGAAAATTTAAAGGAGTAACTCTACATATATATATATATATATGAGTACTTATATGAGTACTTATGCGAAACAACATTGATATGAATGCAGAGTACATGTTTATATTGAAACAATTTATTGAATATATTAAGAGAGTTAGAGATATTTTAATAATAAATACTGAGTTATATCTTCGTCTTTTTTCTGTAAACTTACAATAATCACAGCTTGTTTTTTAATTAAATTGCTTAATCTACCGATTTTCCGACAAAAGAAAAAAATACAAAAAATGTCTTTTAAAATAAAATGGGCAATATTCTTAATGTATTACATTCTGCAAACTGGATTACTCGCAATATTGAAATTCTTTTCATGGCAGTTTATTTAACTAAAGAAATATCCACGGGAATTTATCCGGTTGGAATTATTTTACAATACATTGAACAAAAGCTGAATAGAAACTTGTTAATCCTTTAAATAACCAACATTAATGAGAAAATCCTAAAAAACAAAAGAAGCATATTTTCGAAATGAACGTAAGGTCAAAGGCCTTTTAGAAGGCTTTGCAGACAACAAGAGGATTATTGAAATGAACTGTAAAACTCTTAACGTCAATGTCATGTTCGCCTATCTTTATATAGACGATCCATCAAGTTCTTTATTTCACAAACCATACTTGTGACAACACACCGTTGGAATCGTAGAGAAAATTTTAATGAATTTCGACACTCTTGGATAATTTACTGAAGATCATCAATTCTTAGAAAGGAAATCTTGAAACATGTCTAGAAATGATTATCCAAGATTTAATTCCTATAATATTGCAGATAATTACTATATCACTTCGCATTTCTTAGCGTGCTAGCTTGAATATTTTTCTAAAATATCGAAGGCAGATGTCCAATTCCTCATCAATTATTAAAAGAATGTGTTCTAATGTAAACAGTTCTCTCGCTTCGAGCAAAATGAATATCATTTGTTATAGTACTTGTGTAATTTATTATTCGATCAAGTTTTGAAAATAAAATGCTACTTTTCCATTATAGATTTTTTTAAAACCGTTCATTAGAATAATTATTGCCAGTTTTAATTTGCGACTGAATAAATAATTGTTTTCATATTCGTTAATTAAGTTTTTATGGGAATCTTCAATTCCTTCTCTATGAATGTATGCTTTTAATTAAAGAGTTTCGTTATAAAAATCAATTAAAATATCTTTTGTAAGTTCGTAGTAAATTCCAAATCTTCGTTTTTTCGCAATTTTATAAAATTAGTTATTTATGTTATAAAGTTTTCAATTAAGCTTTAATTAAATAAAATAAACAAGGGTAGACGTGTATGTATCCTTGTTGAAGATAAATATCGATTTTGATTTGAGCTTTACTAATTTATCTTACCTTTAAGAAAAATTGCATTCGTTTAGAGTTTAATTTTAAAACTTATTAGTTAATGGCGTAATTTATTATTCTAACATAATTAGAGAAATGAACCAGAAAATCCACCAGTTTAAATTATAAAATGAATAATTGTTAAATTATTATATAGGAATATATCTTTCGACTTTGTACTGTTGAGTGTTAAAACCTTCTTTAATTATTCGCATTTTAATACACTATTATAATGTAAATTTTTTTTAATTCTTAAGTATTGTGTACAATATAAGATAAAAAATTGTTTTCTTGCAGCGACTTAATGCTAATGTCATTTTGTTTAAAATTATGGATAAAGCTCTAGTTATCAAGTTAAAAAAATTTTTAAAGTTGTTACATAGAAGAAAATTGCTATTTGTGTTACTTTTTTCTTTCTCATAATCTTCAATTAATGGAAAAACTGGATTACAAAAGAAATAAGCTACGATCTATCATTCTCTCTTCATCTGTTCTCGTCAAAAGAAAATGGACTCTTGTCATAATGTCCAACGTATGACGGATTAGTGATTTTTCGTGTTTTATGTTTTTAGATCCGACTGGTTCGATCCCTCCCCGCATAACCAATGGAAGGCTTACTGTAGAAACATTTGAAGAAAGAGCAGTGGAACTCCCTTGTGCTGCACAAGGTTATCCTGTGCCCATTTATAGATGGTACAGGAACGAAGATAGTCAGCTTATACCGGTTCATTTAGGGGAAAGAATGTTTCAAATAGATGGAACGCTATTCATTTCAAGAACTATACAGCAAGATAGTGGAAAATACGTATGCGTTGTATCAAATAATGTCGGTGAAGAAAGAACAGAAACAGTTCTTTCTGTTAAAGGTAAAAAGAATCGGTTACATATGTCGATATTTTATTTTTAAAGTAATGATTAATTTTATATCTTTCAAACTTTAAACAATTTACATATATCATATGTAATAAAAATTTAAACTAACTCAAAATTTTATTTTGGTGTAAAGAAAAATGACTTTTATAATTTATAAGGTTATAAAACTTTAATAAACAAATCGCTCTTACATATTAAATAAATGAAATTTTTAGGAAACATCACGAAATTAAATAATTTACCTTATAATTTTTTTTCTGAAGTTTAAGTAAAGACAGTTTCTAGAATATTAATCTATCTTCGCTCCCTAAGCAATAAATAATAGACACCTTGTCATTTTACAAGATAAATAAGCCGAACTAAATAAAATATTTAGCATATGCCTATGATAAATGTCAAAAGGTATGAAAAATTATCGGTACGTTTAAAATACATCCGTATTTTTACCGAGCTAATGTTTCAGAAACGTCAATAAAATCTCGGAGAAACAAATTACGTAGATACATTATGATGTTAAGTACTCAACATTTACAGGCAACTTGTCAGTCTGGTTACATCCTGATCCTTTAACGGTCGAAGCCGGAAGATCAGTGACTTTCAACTGCTCGATAACCGGTTATCCAATCAATTCTGTGATCTGGTTAAAAGATCAAAGACATCTGTTACCCAACACTAGAATTCGTCTAATATCTAATCGTTTGTTGCACATCACTTCTGTTCAGAGATCAGACCAAGGAATGTATCAATGTTTTGTATATAACGAATGGCAGTCAGCACAAGGAACGGCGCAACTAACCTTATCAGGTATTGTGATGTATATTTTACTCTATTGATTTTTATATGTCTTAATATATTTTACGAATTTTTGAATAAAAGAGATATTTCCGCAAAGAGAAAAAGCAGTTCTGATGAAATCTATATATAAATTTCTACGCATATAAAAAACATTGTAAACATTTCCGGTTTAATTAAATAACAGGAAATTTGATATATAAAAATAGAACGTAATTCATATCCATAAATTAAATATGAATTTTAATATTCTTTAACGATATATTTTTTAGATAAAAAAAAATATCTGTAAAAACACGCATTTCTGAGATTAATTCCATAAAATTATCTCAATTCGATAGTAATAGGGTATTAATAGAAAATTTCTTTTAGTGGTGTTTAAATAAAGCATCAAATTCTCTATTATATCTCGCAATAAAATATTTATTGCGTTCAAAAATATATTTTATTAACTATAAAGAATCTTTTTCAATCTACGCTTGGTTTATTTTTTCGAAGATTTAGCCAAGTCACGTCTTTTAGTGTTAGCTTGTCACTTGACATAATGTTGAGGTTAGTGTATGTTTTTTGACGTCATTCAGTTAATGTTTGTAACTTTTCATAGTTCATAATGGCCAAGATTCTAACATAAAGCTTCTTGTCACGTCTTATTTTTACAGGCGATTTTTTCCCAATCGTTCGCTTCTCCCTATTCTGCCAATATTAATGATGCATTCTAAAGGGGGGTAGAAAAATTATATCAAAATTATTTCTCCATTATTATTGATAATAATATTTTACATCACTTTTTTAAAAGAAATCATTTGTTATACTTTTTTCTAAGAGATATATGCGTAAGAACTTATAGCGTTAATTGTATTACACATTTGAAAGATAAATTGAATTTTTACTTACAGAAGATGCTCCACACTTTTCTTTCACTTTTTCTAAGAAGATATTAGCTCCAGGTAGAAGATTGGCTCTTAGATGTACAGCAATTGGAAATCCATTACCAAGAGTAACATGGACACTAGATAACAAAGCAATTCCAGAAAATCACCGTGTGCAATATGGAGACTTTGTTAGTGTATCGAGCGAAGTTGTCAGTTTTGTCAACATTAGCAGCGTTATGAGGGAAGACGGTGGCGTATATCAATGTAAAGCTCAAAATGATGCTGGTTATGTTGTTCACGCTGAAAGAATAGATATCATCGGACCACCTTATATTAGACCAATGGGAAACATTACTGTAGTAGCTAAAGAGACTCTGTTGTATAGATGCCCTGTATCGGGCTATCCAACACCATCTGTGATCTGGAAGAAAGGCAAGTTTCGTTTTATAATCTATAAACTTGTTATGTTTAATAACAAAGTAATTTTCGCAGTTTTAATTAATTTAATATTTAAAAAAAATCTCTCATAAAAGCGCGATTTACTAAATATAACCGAGATTAATGAATGAGCGTTTTAGTAAGAAATTTTTAGGTTTATTAATAAAATTATAAATAGAAAAATGTCAAAAACATTTATGTCATTAATTTATATATTGATGCTTAATTATATATTTTAAATAATTTATTATCTTGCAGGTATTGTTAATTTTTTTTTTCATTTAGATGTCATGTCCTTGGTTATAATTATTTAACGATTCGATTTCTAAACAATGACCATTAGTCACTGTTGTTAAATATGTTCAAAACATATACTTTGAAAAAAGTGTATGTTTTCACATCAATTAATTTAACAAATACAAATTTTTATTGTTTATTGTTATTTAATTATTTCTTGTTAAAATCATTAGACACATTTTAATAATATTTATATGATAACTAGAATATTACAAAACGTATGCTTTAAATATTATTTTTAATAGAAAATTCAACAGTTTTTTATTTTGAAAGATAAAAAATAAATATAAAAATCAAAATTTCTTCAGAGAGGAAATTCTAAAAAATCTTTCTAAAGTTTCTAATTAAAACAACAGACTACAGATAGTAACTTTACAGTGAACAAGTTTCTTAACTTCCTCAGCAACTGCAATATATTAATGTAATAGCTTTGTCATCAAGTATTCCACTAAGGCATAAAATAAAGGAAAGCATGCATGAACGAACATCAAAGATGGTATGTAAATATTGCCATAGACAACGTTGATGCCATTGTTGCCTCATGCGAGATTTCAAGCTTTCATTAATAAGATTTTATCTTTGATGGATTATTTGTTCAAAGATGTTTTTGTTAGTTTTATGTAAATGTAAATGAGAAGAGATTTGTTACTTTCAGCAATCTAGAAAAAAATCTTTAGAACTAGAATTATACAGAGAATAATTTCGGCCAGAAAAAGAACAACTATCTTTTGTACTATGCAGATAGAGAAATTACTTAATTAAAGTAACGCGATGTATTTTAATTTTCTTAATTGTAATTAATGTAAAATATTATATGTCATTTAACTTTTATTAATGAAATGTTTTAGGAGTTTTAAATACTTAAATTTTATATAAAACTTGTAATTTTTGTTAAAATTTATATTAATTAATTATCATTATTGACGATTATCAATTGGTATATATCGAAATTTATTAACTACATTAATTAAATTATATTAATGAATTCTTTTGAAAAATTCTTAATTTACACGTCATTCTATAATATATTTTTTTGCGTTTTTTATTATATTTTTTGAACGCAACAATATATTGCAACTAGTCAAAAACATCGCTGACAATATCGATTTTACAGAAGAACAGAAATTGACGAGGAATCGATCCCGGATCCTCCTTGTATCACGTCTTTACAGAACATATATCAAAAACGATTAACAACTTAAATAGCATACTTAATTACTTTCTAATGATTATGAATGAATTAATTCAATACAGTCTAGATTAGAATTCTATCAGCGATATTAAAAAAATATTTAGAAATCTTCAGAATAGAGTTGTATTTATCAATATGATTTGTATAATTTAATATAGATTATATTGTAAAAAGTATAACAATAAATTAAACTGTAATAAAGTAAATATATCACAGCCGAATGCGAAATTTTGTCTATAGTATTCGGAATTTCTACCCAGAAAGATTATTATAATTATTATAAAATATACAAAAATAAATAATCTTAGAAAAAAACGAAATAGAATTCTCCATTATAATTTTATTACCCTTTTATGTATGATGCAAAATTTTCTGTTTGATTGACTGCGTATTCAAGCAATTTTAGAAAGCGAAACTACTTAAGGAAAGGAGAAAGTGATTCAAAGAAGGTTAAACTATTGATGAGATTGACTTCGTTAAATTCTAAACTCTTGGGAAGTAAGAAGCGAAAAATGATCGTTTATTATACGAAATAAATTGATAGTTAGTGAAATTAATATGAAATTATTTAAATTTGCAATCAAAATTTAATTACTGAAATAATTTTAAAAGATCTTAACCTTTAAATTAATGTTAGATGGCTCGGAGAAATAATTCCGCGTTATAATAACGAACTAACATCGTCAGTTTTCTCGCGAACTTACTCGGTATTGGGAGTATGGAATTTAAAAATATATTAAAAATTTCTGCTTAAAAATTACTTAAAACTTTTTAAAAAATCCTAAAATATTATCATAAAATATAGCAGAACATTTAAAATAAATTTTAAAGAGATATCGACCATTTCTACCCTTCATTTTACAGTACTTATGCCACCAAGTTCATTAGAATTTTAAAATTTCTTTTACATTTTACTTAAAATTTAAAGTGCAGCCAGATTAAAAAGAAAACAACAAGTCTTTAATTTTGTTTAAAAGACTGAAAAAAGATCATGTTTTTATTTATTTTAACAGCAAAAATTTAACTTGTTGATGTTTGGCACTAGATCAAATTCTATTTAAAACTTTAATGTAGTTTTTTAAACGACTAAAAATTGCTATAAATGAACAGATTTATTATAAAACTTTTGGCATATTTACCAGATTAATGCTTTTGTCTAGAATATAAACTTTTCTAGTCATTATAGTTTTAAGTTCCCATAAGATTTATTGTTAAAAAATATTGTTCTAATATAATCTCTGGAAGAAATATATTTTCAGTTGATTATATTTTCTATTAGTAGTTTGATCAGTTTTATGTTTATTTAAAAATGTACCATGGGAGGAATTAATTCTGCTTTTATCAGTAAAATTTATCTTCGATCCTCATTACAGTTAATAATGGAAACTAAATTTGAGAATGTTTGATAGAAGAAAAAACTGTTTTATATACATATCCTAGTTTTATGTTATTATATATTGATTGTCTAATCCATTCGGTAAATGAACCAATCTTATCTTTATTCTCTCATCATTATTTTTGTGTCTTTTTTCATTTATTTTTCAGGATCTTAAAAACTAGTGGGATAATGCATTTGTTCATACAATAAAATTTTTGTAAATTTTATGTGATAATTTTCTTTTTTTGGATGAAATATTTGCATTAAAATTGCACAAAACTTCAACACATAAATAGTATTAATATCATTTGCTTAGCTGTAAAACAATTCGGCCATTTTCTATTAAAATGTACAAATTTTTTTTACAGGATTTATTTTTTACTGAACTCATATTATGCAATATTATATGAAAATTTCATATATGTATAAATAAATAATAATTCTAAAAATAATTCATTAGTTTTTTATATTTGCACGGAAACTGTTTTTATAGCTTCCATTAACTATTTACACGAAAATGATTTTAAATTAAGTATATATCTTTAGAATTAAGCGATGTTTATAATTTTGTTTTGTTATAAAATTTAATAAAATATATAGTAACTAGTTAATTATTTTATCGACGATTTGAAATTATTCTAGAAAGATTAGTTTGAAAATTTCTTTTTCGATTTATCTATTACTTAACGAAAGAGTTGACTCATAACAATTAAATTTGCAATTTTAACTAATCTCCCGCTTAGCAAAGAGGATATTTAATCAATTTAGATCTGCTTTAACAATAAAGAATTTACATATATAAGAAAAAGAATCAAAGTGTCCGTATTTTGATAGACAGAGTGAGAATGTTCTTAATAGCACTTGATACATGTATCACAAAATGTTTTTAAATAGCACCTTGTCAGGAAAAAGTCACACAACATAAATCACTTCAGTAAACTTCTACAATTTTAACTGTAAACACTATTCGTTAGTAACAGGTGTTTTCTAGTGCTATTGTTCTCTCTAATGTCTAGAAGAAGCAGTTATGTGATTTGAAATAACTGCTATTTTTTTTTGTTTTATTATTTTACTGATTATGATTAGTTACTGCTGTTAAATTTAACTTTTTCGCTAATTATCTTTTAAAATTTTAAATTGCTATCACTTAAAATTGCTTGCGTTTTATCATAATTCAGTACGCTATTCGAATATAATAAATTCTTTTTTAATCATTTAAGCAATAAATTTTATAATAGCTCAAGTTATTTTTATTATAAAACTAAAATAATTCTTAAAATATTGAAGACTTTTTTCAATTTACTAAAAGTATTACATAAAAAATTGTAACATTTAGAAAGAATTTGAAAGAGAAAATAAAAGAGAAAAAATGAATAGAATTTAAAAATTTATCAAGAATATTATTTACAAATAAATTAATAATTACTGGCGCCATTTTTATTTCCAAAAGTATTTTCACATTTGTTTAGATAAAATGTAAAAAACATCAATTATTTCTTATATTATATTCTCTAAATATATTATAAGTAAACAGACATATAATAGCATCGTAAAAAATCATAATTACTAACAAATTAAATTTTATTAATAACTTTATAACTTATTAAATAGTTATTTATTATTTATAAAATCTTTAAAAATTTATTTTATTGGAAAAATAATGATAACTGTTTTGCTTGATTGCAGACTTCATTCTAATGTATTAATTAATGTATTAATTAATAATTGATGTTGCAGAGATTTAAAGTTTTTATGAAATACATAATGTAATTCTGATTTGATAATCTTCGTATAATCCACCATTTAAATACGTCGTTAAAATTAATAATATTTGATTAATTAAATACTTTTTTCCTCTATATTCTTATATATCTAATTGTATTGAAAGACATATCATCATAGTAATATATTTTATTAATGTTTATATTCCGTAGAGTATTATTAAAAAGTATATATCAATTTTTATTTTTTATTGAGGATTTCAAAACAAATCTATTTGTATTAAGCTTATGTTCTGTTTTTTTTTTTTTTTATCTTAAAAGGCCCGAAAGATAAAGATAATATAGAAAGAAATAAGAACGTAAATAAATGACTACAGTTTGTGGTCGATTGCTTAGGAAGGAAAAA